AGCCACTGACAAAGGCAGTAGCGGTTCGGTGGTAGAATTCTCGCCTTCCATGAGGGAGACCCAGGCTCGATTCCCAGCTAATGTACCTCCAGTGCAGCCACCACTTGTCTGTCCGTGGAGGCCTGCATGTTGTTGCGATGTTGAACAGGCTCCAGCGTAGCTTCCAGACTAAGACAGACTAGGACGAAAGCCCTGGCAATCTATTTCTAAAAATCGGCCGATGAAAATCGTATGGATCACAATGGTCCAATCTCATTGGGCATGGGGTCGCCATGAGCTGGAGAGCCAACTCAGTGGCAGGGTAACAACAAACTGCTGTGCACGATCTTCTTGGAAACTTACAGGAAGCAGGTCGTTTTGCAGAAATCAATGAACTGAATGACCGAGTCACTAAATTATTGAAGTTTGTTTTTTTTAAGTTTCAGAGTTTTGCTACAACTCTTTTGGCCCTGCCCCCAGCCCGTGTCCCACTGGGAGCCTGCTGCAAGATGTCTGTCAGTTACTGAGAAGCAGAACATTCCACGAACTGATTTCAGCAAATTGGCTTTCTGCAAATTGGCCATTAGGCAAATGGGTCATCTGGCGAATAGGTCATTTAGTAGCCAGCTTCTAACGACTTGCCCTACAAGACTTCCCTACAGCGAGCACTTCCTTGGGTTAAATGCACATTTCATTTCCATAATTAATATTCACTGGCGCCTGGATGGGGAACTTTCCAGGGACCCATGAGCCGCCAGAACAGCCTCTTAATAATCCGGCAATTAAAAACCTTTTGGGTTTTTTTTTAGCAGGAGAGGAGATACAGAGGACATCCGCTCTCCAAAACACAAGGACCGGTCTCAGAATTGTCATAGGTGTGCTCGCGGTTCTGTTTGTCTCTGGTGTGACATGTACAGCCGTCTGTCGGAAAAAGAAGTGAGTGGTCTTTGGGTTTCCTGTGGTTGATCAAAGGTCCCTGGGCAGGGCAAACGGTTTGTGCTCAACTATTAGCCTAAAAGTTGGCAGTTCGAACCTACCCAGCAGCTCCGTGGAAGAAAGTCCTGGTGATCTGCCTCCGTAAAGATTACAGCCAAGAAAACCGTACGGAGCAGTTCTCCTCGGTAACACGTGGGGTCGCCGTGATAGCAATAGGTTTGCTTTTAGTCGTTGGTCAGCAGAGTTTGTAATAATCCATTTCAACCACCTCCTGCCCTAAGGGGTGGGGTGCAGCCCTGGGAGAACCCAGCAGCCAGACCTGGCCCACTGGTCACGCAGGGTCCCACACTCAGATGGACCCCCCGCGTGGTTTAATAATCTGCTGTCACTGTCTCAAAATTCTTAATAATTTTTGAACAAGGGGCCTCACATTTTCATTTTGCCGACCTTTTGGTTAGCAGCTGCAGCTCTTAACCACTGTGCCACCAGGGCTCCCCACAAATTATGTAGCTGGTCCTACTACCAACCTAAGCACTATTTGCCACCGGGGAACCTCTTTCTACATCTCAATAGTTACATTATTAGACTGAGCCTCATATTCCTTATTATGCCCAACCTTGACCATTCTCCAATTTAACGTAGCTGCTGTGACGATCGTACAGAGGCCTCCTGAACGCTATAAATGGCCTAAAAAAACGTGGAACTTTACTTAACCTTAAACTCCGTTGCAAAACCCACACTTAAGGTAATTTACATTTGAACTATAAAAATTTTCTATAAGTTGAAACATGACCTACATAACATTCTCTATACCCGGAAGCAGTATTTTAGAAAAGAAATCAATTGGTCCTTCTTCACAGAAGCCGTTAGCCATAGAAGAGATAAAGGAACAATTTCAATTTACTGATTCAACTACCATGCCTACAGCATAATTTCTGAAAGGTAACCATTCCGTACAGCTAAAATGCATTAGGTTTTCATTATTATTATTAAAGAAAACCTCAGCTCCAGAAGTGAAGTCTTTAATACAGCAGGCACACACACGGCATTGTTACTTCTTGGTGTAAGCAGTAGGTCCAGTTTTCATTTCTGCCTGAATACGTCGCACCTGTGAGGTCCATGGGCTGTTGTCTTCAGTGCCTCGATCCTTCCCGGAGTCAGGTCTGAGATACGTATCACTTTGTTCTTCCCAAGACCCCACAAACCAGGTCAAGGTTTTCTCCTGTGTAGGTAGGTAGCTCCATGGCCCACATGGCTGCTTCCTCAGTGCAGACCTCACCTCTGGTACCAGGGAAGGCCAGACCAGCCTCGACTGATGAATATCTTACCACAACAGTATGTGTATTACTCACTCTGCTGTTGGTTGTACAAGCCCTTTTGCTCCTCAGAAATGTAATTAATAGCTATTATGTGTACTACTAGGAGCCTTGGTGGCGCAGTGGTGAGAGCTCAGCTGCTGTCCAAAAGGTTGGCAGTTCAAATCCACCAGCTGCTCCCTGGAAATCCTATGGGGCACTTCTACTCTGTCCTATAGGGTTGCTACGAGTTGGAATCAACTTGACGGCAACAGGTTTGGTTTTTGCTTTTTATGTGTATTACTGAGGAGCCCTGGTGGCTGTTAACCAAAAGGTCAGCCGTTCAAACCCATCAGCCCCCGCTCGGGGGAAAGATGTGGCAGTCTGCTTCCATAAAGATTATAGCCTTGGAAACCCTATGGTCAGTTCTACTCTGCCCTACAGGGTCGTTATGAGTTGGAATTGACTCAATGGCAAGGTATTACTCCACCACCCGTCTGTCAGTTTGCCATACTGTGATGGCTTGCATGTTCCTATGATGCTGGAAGCTATGCTACCGATACTTCAAATACCAGCAGGGTCACCCATGGTGGACAGGTTTCAGCGGAGCTTCCAGACTAAGATAGACTAGGAAGAAAGGCCTGGTGATCTGCTTCTGAAAAGTAGCCAACGAAAACCCTATGGATCACAACTGAATACTGTTCAGCTCATCAGGAGGCATCATTCGCTGGAGGAAGGCATTATGTTTAGTGAAGTAGAGGGGCAGCAAGGGCAAGGGAGACCCTCAGCGAGATGGACTGGCACAGTAGCTGTAACAGGGAGCTCAAATATGTCAGCGATCACGAGGGTGACGCAGGATCGGGCAACGTCTCATTCTGTTGTTCGTAAGGCCGCCACGAGTGCATCCCACAGGAGCTACCATGATCATCACTGTATGTATTAATACAAGCCCTGTATTCACGAATTTAACTAAGCTGTTCCCACTGTTGACCACAGGCAGAGAGAGAGCTGATCAAAACAGCAAAAGCAAACCAGTGGCCCTGACCCAGCCCTGAAGCCAGCGTGGGTTAGGACTCCTCGTCTGACCTCAGTGACTCTGTCTCAGGATACTGTGATTAAGAGGATTTATGCAACAGCTCACAGGAGCCCTGCGGGTACAGTGGTTAAGCGCTCAGCTGCTAGATGAAACGTCGGCGGTTTGAACCCACTAGCTGCTCCATAGGAGGAAGGTGTGGCAATCTGCTTCCATAAAGATTATGGCCTTGGAAACTCTATGGGGCAGTTCTAATCTGTCCTAGAGGGCTGCTACGAGTCAGAATCGACTCAACGGCAGTGGGTTTGATTTTGGTTTATGCAACATCTCAAACCCAGAAACCACTGATTCCATGCAAAAACTACTGTTATTTAAATTTATATACCAGTGTTTTCAATAACTTAATATTTTAATTTAATTAAAATGTTTGATTTAACAATTTATTTAATGATGATTTAAATTTAAATCAACAGTGTTCAAGAAATAAAAGAACTCCTTTTTTTTTTTGGTCGAGTCCTGCACTCACTTGATAGCGGAAGAGGGACAATAGATATGAGAGAATAATTGCATTCCATTGGAATTAATTCCCCTCTCTTGTTCTCAGAGCTGAGTAGGGCTTAAGTGTTTCTCATCTGAAAGTGGTAATGAGATTTAATCTGTCCCCTCACCTACCTTCTGCAAGTATATTTAACAAATTAACTCTCGGGGCTCTTCCAAATGGAGTTTTATGAAAGATTTGCTAAGGTAAACGTTTCAGACTTTGAACACAGTTCATATTCCAGAGGCAGAACCAGTGGGTTGCTAACTGCACTGCCTTCCAACTCAAGACACAATAATGTCTCTCCCCATCCACACCTCTATGCACACACACACATTCCAAGAACCAACTCCTACTCTTATTTTGGGAGTTCTTCCTGCAAGGTCAAAACTCCTACTGTAAGCCCAGCTCTCACGGTTCCACGTGCTTGCCTTCACAGCAGACGTTGCCTTTGTGCTTTTATTTATTTGGGTGATAATTAGTTCAATGGAGCCCCTGGGTGGCACAAACGGTTAAGTGCTCGACTACTAGCCGAAAGGATGGCCACTGTTCAAACCCACCCAGAGGCACCTCCCAAGGCAGGCCCGGCGATCCGCTTCCAAAAGGTCACAGCCTTGAAAACCCTATGGAGCAGTTCTGCTCTGCACACATGGGGTGACCCTGAGTCCGAGTCCACTCAATGGCAACTAACAACACCAATGAGTCTTGCCGCACAAGACCCTGGACCCCTGGAGGGCAGAAACCACGCCTGGTTGGTCTCACTCCTGCATGCCCAGGGCCTGACAGCGCTTAGTAAATGCTTGGTGAACGAAGGGACAGACACAAAAGCTGCGGAGGGGGAGCCTCCTACCTTGATGCCCTTTTCCAAGGACAGAAAGGGAAGCGATGGCCTGAGCCCGCATCCCACCCTCAGACCAGCGCTGGGCAGTGAGGGTGGTCAGGCTGCCTCCGCCGGGTCTCAGAGAGGCGATGCTGAGGAGGGAGTAGGGTTGAGTCACGCCTCCCGACCCACGTGCAGACAGTGTGGCCCCTGCCAAGACCCTCGGCCAACACCCTCGTGAGATGCACGAGTCCTGGCCGCACCGCCTTCCTGCCCCAAGCCCCGCCTTCCGAGCCTAAGCCCCGCCTCTCGGACTCCAAGCCCCGCCTCAGCACCGCCTCCTGGCCGGCCTCTCTTCCGCCCCGTCTCCCGGGCAACGCCGGTCAGCCCCGCCCCACCATGGCGCCCGAGGAGAGCGCGGATGCCGCCGGCCTGCTGCAGAGTTTCGAGCGCCGCTTCCTGGCGGCGCGCGCGCTGCGTTCCTTCCCTTGGCAGGTGGGCAGGTGGGCAGCGGGGCTCGGAGGACGGGCCCGGGGGCGGGGGGCGTCTCCGCAGCGGGGTTCAAGTACCCCGGGCTCTTCTGCCACGTGAACTCGGACCAGCCCTGCGTCCCTCCAGGGTCAGAAACGTACGTCTCGGTCCTTGTCCCCGGGCTTAGCCAAGAGGACGCGCGGCTTCCCGGGCCCCTGCAAGGCTGGGCGTCGCGAGCTGGTAGCGTTCGCAACAGACCAGCACTCAGCAACCGCCTCCGCCCTGGGCGTCTTCCCAGGAGGTGCGCGGGTCGCTCAGAACCGGCCCCTTGGTGACCCCCCACTGTGTCTCGCCAGGGGAGCCCTAGGGATTGACGGAATGCGACATTCCTCCCAGGGCCCTTTTTCTGGTGACGCACTGCTTCTGGTCTGGGTTTCAGGGGTTGCGAACAGTTCACGGTTATTTTCGTGAGTTTCATTTTAAGCCATTTATCCTACCGATCATTGGGAAGTGAAACAGCTGCTTCGTGGCCTTGGCCGTGTGCCAGACCCCAGCCTCAGTGTTCTCATCTGAATGATCAGGTATTGGACTAACTCATCCAAGACGCAGTGTGAGGCTCTTAGCTTTGCCTCTGGTGGAAGGGATGTCGTACCAGTTGCTGACAAATCAACTCCAACTCATAACGACCCTATAGGACAGAGTAGAACTGTCCCATAGAGTTTCCAAGGCTGTCGGTCTTTACCGAAGCAGACTGCCACATCTTTCTGCAGCGGAGCAGCTGGTGGGTTCCAACCGCCAACTTTTGGGTTAGCAGCCCAGCGCTTAACCACTGTGCCACCAGGGTACAAAAGGGGCGGGGGGCGGGAGAGACCAGGGGCCAGCGTCCCTGCACTGGGCTCCAGGGCCTGGACAGAGGCTGCAGATAGAGGCCTCTAATAGACAGCGCTTCCTTTATAATTCATGTGCGAGCAGACTCCCTGGAATGACGGTTTGAGTACACATTCCTCCCCCGTGGACCCCATCCTGCAGGATGATGGTTAGTCGTTTGTGTTATTTCATAGACATAAGCATTTAGCCTTCTGAGACATCATGTCCCGTCGGGAAGAAATGTGTGACTTTTTTAACCCCAAATTTGAACCTGTCGGTCCCCACTCAATATCCACTATAATTGTTCCCTATTTGTCAGGCACCACATGCCGAATGCTAACTTCAGCTTGTCCAGAACACCTGGTCAGGTAAACCAGTAAGCCATGGCTCTCGAGTTCATTCCGACTCAATGACCCTCTAGGACAAAGGAGAACTGCCCCGTAGGGTTTCCAAGGAGTGGCTGGTGGATTTTGAACTCCCGACCTTTTGGTTAGCAGCCTGAGCTCTTAACCACTGCTCCACCAGGGCTCCCCAGTGAGGTAGGTACTCTTTTTATATCCTTCCTGTTTGATTAGGAAAGAAGTAGAGTACAGTGGTCAGAGCCCACACTGGGAGGCAGCTGCCTGTGTTGGAACCCCAGCCCTATCACGTGTGGCTGTGTGACCTTGGGCAAGTGGCCTCACCTCTCTGTGCCTTAGTTTTCTATTTGGTAAAGTGGAGACATGATGATACGTACCTCATACGGCTGTTGTCAAGGTGATGTGAGTATGGACACACCCATTCAGTGCCTTCTGTGAGCCGGGGATCAGCCGTACAGAAAAGGGCCTGCTCAGCCAGGACAGCCAGAGAATAAATACATAAACAGATAAACAAGAAGACATCAGGTGATGAGAGGCTGTAAAGTCAATGAAACAGGGAGATGTAAAATGGAGCAGTTCAGTGGGGAGAGAAGGAAAGATTCGTCAAAGCGGGAGAGTCAAGGAAGACCTCCCCAAGAGGCCACATTTGAGCAGCCAGCCATGGGAAAGTCTTGGGGAGCAATATATGCAAAGGCCCTGTGGTGAGAACAAGCCTGCCATGTTTGAGGAATAGCAGGGAGGCCAGTGTAGCTGGAGGGGAGTGAACAGGGATGGGGCAGGGGTAGCAGGAGATGAGGTCAGAGAAAGGGGCCTTTTAGGGCATGGAGCCCTGGTGGCACAATGGTTAACTGCTCAGCTCCTAACCGAAAAGGTTGGTGGTTCAAACCTACCCAGCATAAAGGTTACAGCCAAGAAAACCCTATGGGGCAGTTCTGCTCTGTCACATGGGGTTGCTATGAGTCGGAGTCGCCTCGACACACAAGAGCAACAACAAGGAGCTCTGGGGAGATGAAGCGACTGACCCAGTGTCGTACCAGCTGAGACAGTCAGCTGACTCTGAAGCCAGAGGGAGCCACTGGGCTCCAGTCCCTTGTAAGAGAACAGTATAACCAGGCCTGACACATTCTGTATTTCCATTTGAACTCTGAGGTCAAGTCTGCAGAAAGCTTCCTGGCCAACCAGTTCAGCTGCTAGCTGGTGTGTGACCCAGGTGGCAACTGAGCAGGAGAGCTAACATGAGCCAGGAGTCTGCCTTCTGGCAAGCCTCCTTTGACACATCCAGATGCGTCCGTGATGTCACAAGGTCAGGCTGTCAGCCACTGGAGCTTGCACTTTCGATTGGCTCCAACTCCCTGGGGAGGGACCACTTAGGTACCTTGCCAACATGTGCTATTGCATGTTTATGTTCCTGTGAAATGTCCTTGACATCCTTCTCTCTCAAACTCTCCTCCAAATAGAGCCTAGAAGAGAAGTTAAGGGATTCGTCAGACTCTCAGCTGCTACTGGATGTTTTGCAGAAGGTAAGAGTCACAGAGATTCCCAGGGTGGTGCACACAGATAAGGCACTTGGCTGCTAACCAAAAGGTTGGCAGTTCAAGTCCACCCAGAGACACCTTAGAAGAAAGGCCTGGTGATCTGCTTCTGAAAAATCAGCATTGAAAACCCTGTGGAGCATTTGCCATGAGACCAGAAGAATTGGATGGTGCCCAGCTACCGTTACTGAACGTTTTGATTAAAGATTCTATAGAAGAAACCTGATCAAAACGGGGAGAATGGAGAACAGAATTTCAGATTCTCATGGAATCCAGACACTCTGGAGCCCTTGAGGCTGGATGAACTCCCAAAACTATTGCCCTGAGATGATCTTTAAACCTTAAACCAAAAATATCACCTGAAGTCTTCTTAAAATCAAACAGTAGTTTAGCTTAATTGGTAAAGAATGTCTGCCTTGAGCATTGTGCTCTTTTAAGATCTATCTGTAAGACATCAAATTGACAACAACAACTTGAAAGATTAGATAGGAACCTTAGGGGGCAGTGAGTTTATGTTAATGGGGGAGGAACAACTCAGCAAAGGAGGGTGAGAATGGCTGCACAACTTGAAGAATGTGATCAGTTGAATTATACATGTAGAAACTGTTGAATTGGTGTATGTTCTGTGTATATTCTCAACAAGAAAAATAAATTATTTTAAAAAAGAAAGAAGGAAAACCCTATGGAGCACAGTTCTACTCTGACATTCATGCGGTGGCCATGAGTCAGGGTCGACTGGACGGAGACTGTTCAAGAGTCACAGACTCACAGGGACATGTCCCTGGCCTCCTGACTTGTCATGAAGACATGCCAGTGCAGTGAATGTGTTTGTTGAAGGAAACCACTCGTCCGTCAGTGCCACATTCCAGCATCACCTCCTCAGACAGCGCTGGCTCTTGTTTCTTAGATGAAGACATCAGACTATACAAAAACCTGCATGCGGGGAGGGAATCTAAGGAATATCTTTTAAATCATCTGCAGTGAGAATGGCGATGACGGGTGCAGGGACATCCCTAGTGTTTGGTAGCTCCTCGAAGACTTCCTTCTTTACGTTTATGGAGAAAATAGGAGACGAGTCTGCCGGCTCATCTCCCTTCTCCAGGTATTGACGGTGGCATTTGGTGGAGGTGGGATTTGGATTCTAAGGTGCATCTGGGCATGGCTTAGAGGCAGAACCACCACTCTGCCTGACCTGACCCCTCCATGACCTTGGCCGTGTGGTTCAAGGGCCGATCACACTGCGTCCTGGCACTTAGAGTCAACATCTGAGTCTCCCAGTGCTGCTGTAGCAAGATACCATAAAGCACGCACCTTAAAACAACAGAAATTTATTGTCTCACTGTCCTGGAGGGTAGAAATTCAAAATCAACGTGTCGGCAGGGCCGTGTTCTCCCCAAAGGCTCCAGGGGAGAATCCTTCCTTGCCTTTTCCTAGCTTATGGCGGTTCCTGGCAACCATTGGCGTTCCTTGACCTGTAGATGCATCTGTCCAATCTCTGCCTCCAGCTTCAGGCCCATCCCTCTGTGTCTGTGTCTCTGTGTCTCTTCTCTTTCTAAGGACACCAGTCATATTGGATCAGGGCTCACCCTTCTACAGTATGGCCTCATGTTACCTGATTACATCTGCAAAGACCCTATTTCCAAGGTTACATTCACTGGGACCAGGGGTTAGGACTTCATGCCTCTTGGGGGGACACAGTTTGACCCAAAACAATCATAAAGCTTTCTGAAAATCAAAAGCTATGGATTCTCTCCCCAAGGGGGAAAAGTGCACCGCTTTGCATACAAATTCAGGGGAGCCATAGACCCACCCCTTCCAACCACCAGCTTCATCCAAGGAGCCCAGGTTAAGAGTTCTTGCCCTGGAGGGTAAACCAAGAATGTCCACAAAGCTTCGACGTAGAAAAGACGTACCACAGAAAGGGAAGACTGTTGGAGCAATCACGGAGCTCAGAACTGTGAATGTGGAAGTACCTGAGGTCGCTATCCTGTGGCCCACTCTGGTTTCCGCCCCCAAGCCTCACACCATACGTGGTAGAGCGTAAAATGTGGGGTGGTGGTGGTTCCTGCCATCGAGTCGGCTCTGACTCATGATGACCTTATGTATAACAGAGTGAAGCGCTGCCTGGTCCTGTGCCATCATCACAATCGTTGGTATGCCCCAGTCCATTGTTGTAGCCGCTGGACCGCCTCCCAACCTGGGGGGCTCATCCTCCAGCACTATGTCAAGCAGTATTCTATTGTGATCCATAGAGTCGTCTTTTTTTTTTTCAGGGTGAAAGTAGTAGTTTTTTGTTTTTTGGTGAGGCTATACACAGCAAAACATACCAGTTCAACAGTTTCCACATGCAGAATTCAGTGACATTGGTGGTTACATTCTTCAAGTTGTGCCACCTTTCTCAATATCCTTTTCCAAATTGTTTTACCATCATCAACACAAACTCACTGCCCCCTAAGCTTCTCATCTAACCTTTCGAGTTGCTGTCGTCATTTTGATCTCATATAGATAATTCTTTGAGGGAACATAATGTTCAAGACAGAATCTTTTCTAATTAAACTAAATTATTGTTTGGTTTAAAGATGATTTCAGGGGCTAGTATCCACAGGGTTTTCAATGGCTAGTTTTTGGAAGGCCTTCCTTCCTAGTCCGTCTTAGTCTGGAAGCTCCAGTGAAACCTGTCCACCATGGGTGACCCTGCTGGTACTTGAAATACTGGTGGCATAGCTTCCAGCATCACAGCAACACACAGGCCACTACCGTATGACAAACTGACAGGCAGGGGGTAGAATAGCTACTTGCAAACCTAACCCAGCCAACCAGAGAGCCCTGGGTGGTGCCCTGGGATCAGATCCGTAGCCTCCCCAGGCCACAGGCCCTGACCACAGCGTTCTGAAGCCCTTGGTCCATACCTGCCCCGTGCCTGCCTGGTTCCCACTGGCTGGGCTCTCACCTTTCCACAAAACCAGACAGCTGACAAATATCCTTGCCACAAACTCCAGTTCACACTGGCCCCCCAGCAGAGGGGCCTGAGCTTGAGTCCACAGGCCCATGTTCCCCCCAAAAATGGCCTTAAAAACACCTTCAAGTTTGTGCAGCTGTAGAGGAAAAGAAACGTGTCTTAGGAAAGTTTAAGATGCTGTTATGGATTGAGTTGTGTCCCCCTAAGAATGTGTTAGAGACCTAACCCCTATACCTATGGATGTAGTCCTGTTTGGAAACAGGGTTTTCTGTGTTATGTTAATTAAATCATACCCAAGTAGGTTGGGTTTTAAACCTAATCACTTCTGAGTTATGAAGAGAGCAGGTAGGAGCAGGGCTTCAAACTGGTTGCATTTCCACTTCAGATATACTGACTCAATGTACATTTTAACAAGATCCCAGAGTGATTCTTATGTGTAACTTTCCAGGAACCTACTAGAAGTGCAAATTCTCAGCAGGGAACTTGTTAGAAGTGCAAATTCTCAGCAGGGGTTCTAACCAGAACGAACTGGTTCAAAGCCCTAAATTAGACACAGAGACACACACACACTGGGGGGAGAGGGGGAGACAGATGTCATGTGAGGATTGACTACAACCCAGGGAACCACGGGACCCCCAGGACTGTCGACAAGGAGTTGACACGGCCCGGACTCTGAGGTGGACTTTTAGCCTCCAGAACTATAAGAAAATTAATTTCTCTTCCCTAAACCACCCACTTGTGGTAGGTGTGTTACCGCGGCACTGGGTGACTAAGGTGGGTTAGGGACACCTGTAGACAGAGCCCCCTTTGCCGTGGGTGGGGAGGGATCTGGGAGCTGTGGGGTTTGTCAGTATATTGGCTTGAAGATTGAAGGTCATAGGAGACTTCAGGAGGGGTCCTCCCAGCAGTCAGCATCTTGTCCTCTCCGTAGACTGTGAAGCACCCCCTGTGTGTGAAGCACCCCCCGTCGGCGAAGTTCATGCGCTGCTTTCTCTCTGAGCTCATCAAGAAGGTTAGTAATGGCAGCTCCTCTGGCGGCTGACAGCACCGGGGACTCGGGGGCCTCCAGAAACAGCCGTCTGCTTTCCTTTGCCTGTTGGAGCTATGTGTTCTGTGCTCTGCAGGTCCCTGTCGCACGCGTGAAACTGGCTTCCAGCTGGTTCTACCAACATGAGGCAGTGGCGGGCTGGAGGAAGGGAGAGGCCAGGGTACTTCTTCCTCTCTTCTGGTTCCCAGCGGCTGTGTCTCCTTTGTGATTCCGGCTCCCCACCTGCGGGCTTGTTCCCCCTAGGCGGTCCCTGCCCCTGCGCACTCCTGTTCCTCTGGCCCAGACGGCTAAGTAGTTCCTGCCTTAGCGAACCTCCAGACTGCCTCACTGCCCCCTTTGGAGATTTTTAGCTCTTCCAATTCCCTTGTAACTACTTCCCCTACTACATTCTCCCCACTGAGCTACCTGCTGTGGGCTCTTCCCAGGCTGTTACAGGATGGGTTTTAAGGAGGAGCCTAATCTCGCTGGGGTTCCGTGAGACTGGACTTCACAGAGGCGACCCCTCAGTGGTCGGTCAGCAGGCCTGGTGCAGTGACCACTGAATCCCTCACCCAGGCTTAGCAGACGGAGCAGCCCTGGCTTCCTGGGTCCTCACCCCGTCTATTTAGTCTCCATCACTGCCCAAGAGGATCAGGACCCTCATCAGATGACCCCCCACCGATGCTCCCCAAGAAGCCAAGGGGAGTTGCCCACATGGGAAGCAGCTCAGTGAAAACCGCACCCTGAATTTGGGGTGTCCGTCCTTGGGGTGCCTGCCTGGTACTTATTTGGCTGTCATGGATCCCCAGTTTCTGCTGCCCTGGAGGGTGACCACACCTCTCTTTGAGGTGTCTCCTAGGCCCCCCACCACATGAATGTTTTATATACCAGGGGGCCTATGTTAAGTCAAACCAAAATCCAAACCCATTGCCATCTAGTCCATTTCAACTCATGGTGACCCTGTGTGGTACAGAATACAGGAATGTTCCATAGGGTTTTCTTGGCTGTAATCTTTACAGAAGCAGATCACCAGGCCTTTCTTCTGTGGTACCACTGGGTGAGTTCAGATCACCAACATGTTTAGGTTAGTACTCGAGTGCAAAGGAGCCCTGGTGGCACAGTGGTTGAGTGCTCGGCTGCTAACCGAAAGGTCAGCAGTTCACTCCATGGGAGAAAGATGTGGCAGTCTGCTTCTGTAAAGCTTACTGCCTTGGAATCCCTACGCGGCAGTTCTGCTCTGTCCTGCAGGGTTGCTAAGAGTCGGAAGCGACCTGATGGCAGTGGGTAAGTCGAGTGCAAACCGTTTGTGCCACCTGGGGACCTTTTTGTTAAGTCAGCCCATCTTAAATCTACCCTCCAAACTGGGTAAAAATCACCCAGGCCTTTTTACATGTCAGAGTAAAGGCAGGCCGGCAGAGCCTCTGTTTTATTCATGAAGGCCAGCATAATCCTCTTGGCTGAAGCTCTTGTCCTTTCCATCCCCAGCACGAGGCTGTCCACGCAGAACCCTTGGACGAGCTGTATGAGGCATTGGCAGAGGTCCTGACCACCGAGGAGTCCACCCAGTGCCACCGGAGCTACTTGCTGGTACGACCCACGCGCCCTCCGCCCCCACACACACTGGACGCGGGTCCTTTGCAGACAGAGTTGATAATTCAGGCTCCAGTCAGTCCCACTTGGAGCCAAATCCTGACTCATCAGCTCTGTAGTCATTAGCCTCTGGCACCTCAGCTTCCGCCTCTGCAAACTAAGTATTTCAGTAAGAGTACCTGCCTTAGCAGGGAAGGAGCCCTGGTGGCTGAGTGCTTAAGGCTCGGCTGCTAACTGAAAGATCGGCCATCTGAACCCACCAGCTGCTCCATGGAAGAAAGATGGAGAAGTCTGCTTTCCGTAAAGATTTACAGCCTTAGAAACCCTGCGGGATAGTTCTACTCTGTCCTGTAGGGTCGCTATGAGTCGGAATCGACTCAGCGGCAGTGGGTTTGGTTTTTTGTTGTTTGTGTGTTGTTTGCGTTTTGTTTTATTTGGTATCACTTGTGTTAGGAGGCCTGGTGGTAAAGTGGTTAAGCACTTGGCTTGCTAACCGAAAGATAGGTGGTTCGAACCCACCAACAGCTCTGCGGGAGAAAGCTGTGGCAGTCTGCTTTCACAGAGTACAGCCTTGGGAACCCTATGGGGCAGTTCTGCTCTGTCCTGTAGGGTCACTATGAGTTGGAATTGACTCAGTGGCAACAGGTTTGGTTTGTTTTAACCTTATGGGGGTTAATAGATAATGCCCATTAATTGGCTAGCAGCAACCTGGCACCTAGTCCTTAGCAAATCCCTGGCAGATGAATGTGCTGGACAGCTGTCTCTCCTCAATGTCCTCTACCACTGTCATAGCACGGTCAGACTCGGTCCGCTCAATTGCTTGAGCAAGAACACAATGTGGGGTTCCAGAAGGTGCATATTGTAATTAGCTGCAATTGAGGCAGACCACAACGGATGGCCCCATGCACAGTAGAACAAAACCCAGCCCAGTCCTGCGCTATCCCTGTGATAAGTTACGGGTTGGACTGTTGTGATCCATAGGGTTTTCATTGGCTGATTTTCGAAAGTAGATCACCAGGCCTTTCTTCCTAGTCCACCTTAGTCTGGAAGCTGTGTTGAAAACTGTTGAGCATCGTGTTGTTGTTCTTGGGTGCCAGCGAGTCGGTTACGACTTACGGCGGCCCCATATGTTACAGAGTAGAACTGCCCCATGAGGCTTTCTAGGCTGTAATCTTTACGGAAGCAGATCACAAGGTCCTTTCTTCTGCAGAGCCGCTGGGTGGGTTCAAACCCTGACCTTTAGGTTAGCAGTCAAGCACTTAACGCAAACCTCCACTGACAGACGGGTGGTGACTGCACCATTAGGTACACTGGCCCAGAGTTGAACCCAGACCTCTCAGGTGGAAGGCGAGACTTCTCCCATTGGACCCCCGCACTGGCTGCTTTTTGCTCTTGTTTGATGTTAGCAGTCAGAGACGCTCAGCACTCAGTCCCAGTCATTCCCTGGGGGATGCAGAGTCTGTTGTTTGTCTTCCTTATTAGCTGGAATGCTTTTATAAGGTGGAGCTTCCCCTCCTCCGCTATTGGTTTACCCAGTGGTACTGATCACGTAGGAGAGGCAGGATCAGGGCTTGACTCTTCCGTCTTCTTTACGCAGCTTTCAGTATAGTGACCTGGGTCCCTCTCCCCTGAAGCAGCTCAGTCCATTGCAAATCTTAGCCTCATGAAGCTTGAAATGGCCTATTTGGGGCCGCTTCTAGCAGGCTCCTGAGTCCTTTGGATGGTACCCTAATCGTTTGCTTGCTTTCCCTTACCTCAGACTCCTCTTGTACATTTCCTGTCCCAGACCTGGAATCAGCCATTTCGTCAAGAAGCTCTGGTTTCCTTTAGTGGGAAATGGTACTTAGAGGCCACAGTCTGGGCACTGCAGACACTCGTTGCTCCCGTGTGAGCCTTCCCGGCGGACAGCGCAGGGATATGGATGGAGATAGGCGTTCGTACTTTTTATAAGATAAAATACTGCATAAATTCACACTGATGTTTCTAAACCTCTTCTATGTTACAACTGTATCTCCTTCTACACTGAAAATCCTGGTTCTCGACAATGCAGGGAAGATGTTATGGTTGTTGGTTGCCAGCCAGTCGATTCCGACCCAGGCTGAGCCCGTGTGACAGAGTGGAACTGCTCCATCGGGTTTTCTTGGTTGTAATTTTCTCATTTGTTTGTTTGTTTTATTGTACGTTCGATGAAGATTTACAGAACAAACTAGTTTCTCATTAAACAGTACACGTATTGTTTTAAGACATTGGTTAACAGCTCCACAACATGTGAACACTCTTCCTTCTCAATCTTGGGTTCCCTATTACCAACTTTCCTGTCCCCTCCTGCCTTCTAGTCCTTGTCCTTGGACTGTTGTGCCCCATTAGTCTCGTTTTGTTTTATGGGGCTGTCTAATCTTTAGCTGAAGGGTGAACCTCGGGAGTGACTTCATCACTGAGCCAAAAGGGTGTCCAGGGACCATACTGTCGGGGTTTCTCCAGTCTCTGTCAGGCCAGTAAGTCAGGTCTTCTTTTGTTAGAATTTTGCTTTACATTTTTCTCCAGCTCTGTCCGGGACCCTCTGTTGTGATCCCTGTCAGATCTCGGCTGTAATCTTAATGGGAGCAGATCACCAGGTCTTTCTCCTGCAGAGCCATCAGGTGGGTTTGAACCACCAACCTTCAGGTTAGCAGTCTAGCGTGAACTGTTTGCGCCGCCTAGGGAGCTCCAGAGTTAGGATCGTCCGTAACTACCTATTTGCTTCATCTCGTATCACTCATACAGCCACCTCAGAAGAACATTGCCCACCACCCACCGATCACGGTGACTGAAAACAGTTTACTGCTGAGCGGTGTCCACGGTGCAGGTGGACCACAGCTGCTTTAGCCACTTACTGATGGTGGTTTGACACCATGTGAAGCAGCTGCTTTTATTCTGGTCGCTGGGTGAGCGCTCTCTCCCTGTCCCTTGGTCCAGCCTTCCGGAGAAGCAGTCACCCTCTCCGAGAGCACCGCCCTCGTGTCACACGGCACCACAGGCCTGGTCACATGGGATGCTGCCCTCTACCTTACAGAGTGGGCCGTGGAGAATCCGGCAACCTTCACTGACAGGTGACAGCGAGGGCGCCAGGCGAGAGGGCATCCGGGCAGGTCTGCCCTCTGCCGTCGCCAGCGCTGAGTCTCCCTCTCTCCACCAGGACCGTCCTGGAGCTCGGCAGCGGAGCTGGCCTCACAGGCCTGGCCATTTGCAAGCTGTGCCGTCCCAAAGCATACGTCTTCAGCGACTGTCACAGCCAGGTCCTCGAGCAGCTCCAAGGGAATGTCCTTCTGAACGGCCTGTCTGTAGAGCCAGGCGTCACGCCCCCTCGGCAGCACCCAGGGTGCGACACGCCAGACTCGGAAAAGCCCACTGTGACTGTGGCCCAGCTGGACTGGGACCTCGTGACAGCCCCGCAGCTCTCTGCCTTCCAGCCAGACATTGTCATTGCGGCAGGTACTGCGGGCCTGGGCCTCCCGGCAGCTTGCCCGGCTCACAGCTCAGGGAAAGGGGGACACAGGACATCGGAGAGCCACTGAGGGGTCTGTCTCCAGGGTGAGGTCAGCAGCAGGGGTGGGCTCTTGTCAGAAACGGCGGCCACACCCACTCCCGTTAGAGTGGCTCCAGCAGATGTACGCCCCAGTTCTTCCCAGCAAGGCCTGAGGCTAACAGACCAGGCTACAGGGGCCACCCCAGGCCAACCCTGCAGCCAGGCCCCAGCTGCGGGGACAGATGGGGTTTCCCTCTCCAGCAGACCAGGCGACAGGGGCCACCC